AGGTTGTAAAGAAATATTAAAGTAGATAAGAAATGTTTCTTTATAAGCTCCTCTATATTGCTCTAATGTTCCTCGCCAGGATGCCTCTTCCTCTATAAGTGAAGATTAGGATACATTGTTCGTTAGCTTAAGAAAAGGAGCCAAAAGTCGCAAAGATCTGGCAAGTCGTAGCACAAGATGCGAAAAGGAGCCAACAGAAAATCGCAAAGATCTGGCAAGTCGTAGCACAAGATGCAATGCTGTGTGGAAAAGATGCGTTGTATGAGAAATTACAGGAATTTTTTATTTTCATGTAAAAAATCAACATTTCCTTCATATTTCACCTTATACCAGTACCCAAGGAAACTGAAAATGGGCCATTTATACTCCACAACTACAAACTGCCAAAAATGCCTATGGTTTTAACAGTATTGAAGGCGACTTTGACACTCCAACAATCGCCAGCATCTGGCTACCACCGTAAGAAATTTAGAAGGAATTGTTTACCACTTCAAATTCGATCCATCGATCTAATAGGATAAACAAGCAGGGGTATATTAACATCGGATGAAGCAGAACGAAGAATAAAAAAAGCAGGAGATGAGAATTACAAAATTTGTAAATTATAAGAATTAATTTAATGGTAGGAAATCATATAGTCCACTACGAAGAAACGCTATTTTCATCAAGAATGCCCTTAGCTTTCAAATAATGCTTGAAAAGTAATAATTTCAACACACATAATATCTGTATGCAAACCTGATCATAATTGTCATGGCCATGGAAGAACGGCTCTTTCCTAAAAATCATGCTCGCAAGCATGCATCCAAGACTCCACATATCCAGCGAATAGTCGTAGCACTGCAAAATGAAATTACTACCTCTTCAGCATAGAAAAACATTCCAAAAGCAACGAACAATGAATGAGAAACGAATGAAACTACCTGGTAATCAACAAGAAGTTCAGGCCCTTTGAAATAACGTGATGCCACTCGCACATTGTATTCCTGGCGTGCGTGATAAAACTCCGCCAAACCCCAATCGATCAGACGCAGCTGGAAATAAAACATATACAAATCAATCAAATAAACTGCAAAACTAAGGATTCTGCCCCTCAGAGACAGTAGGATTTTCAACTTTTGGCGGACGAAAAGTGGTACCACTACCGAAAGTTAGTGCAGTTATCTGTCACATAATATATCAAATAAGGATTTATGGTTTTTTGTTAGAAATTGTGTCACTATGACGCAGTACTCAGGTCCCTGGCTCAAACTTTGGAAAACCTATCTAACAACTAATTCCAAGCAACAATAAAATTTATGGATTACGGAGTTCCATAAAGTTTTGCAGTCACAGTAATCTTTGATCCTTGGAGTATAAAAACACTCCTTCCCATCTCCAGAATCCCACAGCTAGTTCCAGTTACTCGAGAAGCTACTCTCTTCTTTGCTTCGACTCCCCAAAACCTCACCACCCATTTTGCACTGCCTTTTACTAATTTACTTTTCGCTGTATTACTTTAGTTAAACCATAATAATTATATATATAATACATATAACTAAGTGTTAACCACAAACACACAGAGGGCACGCCACCAGTCTAGCTTATTACCATTTTAGGGTCGCGATATACCATTTTCCAAATAACTCCTCCATTATGCTCTAGTGAGCACTTCCACAAAAAGCTAAGAAGCACTCCGTGTGCACATGATGGTAGAAGAAACATTGATATGCGACTAAAAATCAAAAAAAAAGGTCCTCTTGCAAAATATACTTACTGTTCGCTTCTCGTGATCAATCATCACATTGTGCGGTTTCACGTCACGATGCATTATTCCTTGCGAGTGGCAGTAGTCCAGGGCTTTCAGCAACTCATACAAATAATAACGTATGTCATAGTCCGTGAGCGTCTGATACAATTGCTGAAAATGGATAACTGTAAAAAATACAAAAACAAAAGATTTTCCCATTATAATCTATTAACTAATTCCACGCAACAATAAACTTTATGGATTACGGCCGTTCCATGTTTCCATGGCTCGGACTGACCATTTACTTTAGAAATCACGGTTCGGCCTACCAAGGACCCCAAATTATTTATCAATTTAACCGATCCCAGCTGCTCCACTTGGACCGTCCACTTATGATTCGGCCTTCTGATGGCCGTTACTTATCATTAAAACATGCGAAATAAAAGCATTTACCCTTCTATCAAGGTCTCCTACGACTTAAAAAAAATATCGCTAACGTTTGTCCGCTTCTGTAGCTCATCGTTGCGCCAAAAAGTATTAGTTTCACAGCTTTCTATGAATTTCAAATGCACTGCTACTGCTGTTATTGATGCATTACTACCTTGCAAAACCGCAAAATCTGAGAAGCGTGCAGAAATTTCGCAAACATTTGATCAAATGCCTCATGCCTTTTTCGACAGTTTAGGTTTTGAAACTTTTATCAAGAGCGGTTTAATTCTTCAGTTTTTTTCTAAGTTGCTAGCTTACAAAACTGAAGGCGAATGGTATTCTTCGCATCTTACAAGTGGTAGTGTTTCTCCAACAGCAATCACCTGATAACAAGGCTGTCGACCGTTTCCCTTCTTACCCCTTTCTCCCTCCTCCTTCATCCCCTCCCCGTTTCCCAACTCCCTCGAAGAAGGTTAATTCCCGAAGCAAACTGGGTGCAGTTTTGATTTCCTAGTATATGCCAATACCAGTCGGCCATGAGACAAATCCGCAAATCGGATATGAACTGGTTTTCCTACTGGAGGATTGCAAAAATCGACTCATGCTTGACAGTACAAACAAATATCAGCAATGTAAAGTATTCACGAGTAACCTTAAAATCGGTGTTGTTGACATATTCAAAAACAAGTGCCGGGGTCCTGGAAATCGGATCCTTAACAACATCGAGAAGCGTGACAATGTTGGTCCCACCGCGCAAATTCTCCAAAATTTTTATTTCACGCTTTATTTTCTTCTTCTTGACCGGCTGAAAAAAAAAAGCTTTTTGAAAAAAAAGACTGGAAAAAAAGTAGAACTTTTTGGCTACAAAAAGAGGGAAAAAAAAAGAGATTCAATGGCCCTGTAAAGTGCTGACCTGATAGTCAGGCATCGAGAATAAGATTATACCCAAAACATCTCTGCATTTTCCATCTCCTCAGAAAAAAACTCGAATTAAGGACCGTAATCCATGACTTTTTAATAACCAACATTTCACAATACCTGATAATCCTTCAGTCCCTCAAGCTACTTATCTCTAGTACCTTCTTTTTTGGCATGGCTGAAACCCCCTACCGTCACTGAACGCCTAATAAATCCATGACAATGCCAGCACAAATCCTGTCAGATTACAAAAAAGAGGAAAATTTCCTATCAAATTTCAATCCCATTTCAATACAGCTCGGTGTTGTAAAAATTCTAAAGATACAAACAGTGAATATCCCTGGCTAGAAGACTGGAAGAGGGCCGGGGCCCGAAATTGCCTAAGCGTTAACATATGCATTTTTTTTTTTTTGGCATTGCTGACCCACCGTGGAGAGGAATACAGTCGAATTTTGATAATTAATGAAAACATTGAAAGTTTCTAAAACTAAAAAGTTATCAAAGACAGTCCGAAGAGGGTACCTTCAAAATTTTAATAACGCATTTATCGTCCATTGGGGATCGAATACCTTCAAAAACTTCACTGTACTTCCCACGTCCTAATTTACGGACCAACTGATAATCATCGATACTGCCCCAGTCGATCATATGGCACTCATAGTCCCAATATTCACGTGGCTTCTGCTGATTCACCTGCAAAAATCCATAGCCACCATTGATCAACGAGGATTAAACAGACATCCCAGAACATATTTTTTGAACAAAGAACAGAAAATTATGCAACATATTACCGAATACGGGTAGTAGTCTCTTCCGAAACTCGGGGTAGGTGTTCCCGGAGAGCCAAATCCAATGCTATTTTCACACAAAAGAGACATTTCCTGTACCCAAATAAAGCTGTTAGTGCAGCATTATGCACGACAGTTCAACAAGCGCAAACAGATCGGAGCAGAGAGCCCCTATGCGTACAAAAGAGCTTTTCGAAATTGGGCAATGGCGATAAAATGAGGTTACCAGTGTGAATACACAGCTAATCTCTATTCTCACATGAAATTTCGCAGAAGAGTTCCATCAGCAGGATGAAAACGGGGAGGGAAAAAGGAGAGGGAGAGGGGTAATTCTCGATCTTTGATCGACAAATGGCTTAAAATGAAGTAAACAGGTAAATCCGGGGTGATGCGAGCCTAAAATTCGGCAAATTCTCTGTAGAACCGCAATACTGGACAGGCAGCAAAGCGTGAAGAGCACGCCATCGATTTCAATCCGCAACCCTGGGTCTCTCTGAAACTCACCGGCCATTTTCCATTGAAACGAATAATGATTTTTGGTGCAAAGACCCTGTACCCAATTTCAACTTACAAGTCACTGTGTACATACAGGCTTGCTTGTTTGGGAGATCTAAATGGCGCTACTTCCAGTGTTTTCATTAATTATCAAAATTTGACTGTGTTCCTCTTCACGGTGGTGGGCCAGCAACGCCATGCAAACTGCATGTGTTAACGCAGAGACGGTTTTAAGCCCCCGTCCTTTTCCAATCTCCTTGCCAGGGATATTCACTGTTTGTATTTTTAAAGCAACACATTCCAAATGAAGTGCTACGAGCTACATCTGGCGTGAAAGATATTATTGAAGCACGATACGCCACAAAGGGGAGATGTGCTGATCATGTGGGACGGATGTCAGATAAAAGATGGATGAAGCGGATAATGGGATGGTAGTCGCGCACAGTCAAGCGAACACTGTAGAGGCCATTAGTGAGGTGGAGAGATCCCATGATACGCCTGTGCGGCACTACGCTGACTCGGAGAGCACAACAACGAGTTGAATGGAGAAGTTGCCAGCGTTGTATCGATGGAGTGACAACGAACGTCGATGACACATACAGCTGCTCAAGCGTTTAAGTGAGTATTAGATTGTATTTCTAAGAATTCTAGTATTTCCCAACAAAACTTTACTTGTAACAGCTTGAGCGGGTAGCTTCACCCAATGTTGGCTGGCTCTGCCCCTTCCTTCCCGTGATACGTTTTTCTGAGGCCTCGTACTGCGCGAAACTTCAGTTAAATTGATGAAATCGAACAGCTAAAGCACGAGTATAACTGCTAGCTGGCAGGGCTTTCGATAGTTCCCTCTTTCTAAGACTGCACAGGAATAAGCTAATGACTGGCCTGACTCCCATGCATGCACCGATACCAACTTATCATAGAGAACAAAGGATCGGACTTCCGGGTGGCATCAATGGGCTGGCGATCGTCTAAAGCCTCTCGGCCGATTTCGTCGTTCAGTAAGCAAACGATGACGATGTACGGCTGCTTCGGCACAATGAAGGGAAGTAGGGCCGACGACGACGTAGGATGTTGCAAAAGGAAGAAGGTACTCTAACAGCCGAAGAACGGAGGGACTAGTTGTTCTAATGGCGGAGTTGAACCTTCGAACTTTAATACAAGCAGCGATGCTTGCCACTGAGCCATGTTCGCCAATTATCATCGCCAAAAAAAGCGGTTTTCGGTGGAATTTTATAATACATGTGAATTCAGCGGATGTAAAACGCGCTCACTGACGAAAGTGGAACGGGGCAGGGGGGAGGAGGGTATTTAGTTAACATAGAAGACGACAAAGCGAAGCATGCTTGGTGTATCTCTCTAAGTGAACACATGAAGCAGATTCCCCGTCAAATGAGCGATCTGCAGGATATCATTACGATCACGTAAGAAAGTAAAATCCGATGAGCATGACATGATGTTCGCCTTGCCGGCAACCTGTGGACAACTCGCATCAGTGTGAGTGGTGATACCCATGTGAAAGTAAACGACCACTCAAGCGACCACTGAAGAGATGGCACACATACATCGAATAGGCGGCGGGTACTAACTGGAGGCATGCAGCCCAAGACTGAATGGCCTGGCATAGCTGCGCTCGGCATCTAGGAGCATCCCAGTAACATCACTAACATCGAATCCCTGCAGAATGCCTGATTTATAGTCACTTTCTCCAGTTGTTCAGCTGAGAACTTCCGCTTAAATACAACTTGTAACGTTAACAATGACTTCATCGACGGAGATTTTGCGCTATCGATGTACAATCAAAACAAAATTACACCTGTCAGTAAATAGGCGGCTGAGGAACACGTTACTCAGTGCGCAACTGACCACGGCTGACCTCCTCCCACCATTCCCCAGGTATTCTTAACGTGACAAATATGAGTGACCGCGTTCTGAACTCACTGTTGAGGGGGAAGCATATGACTCAATACGCGGCTGACCGTTGCTGGTCCTTAAGTCTGCGTCAAACACAAGTGATCCACACGTCACATGGAATAAAAACACATTCGGATTTCCTCTCAAAAAAGATCATCAACAAAAATTGATGCCGCGGCCACCCACGCATTGCAGATATATATAACACCGAATGACCAAGGTGAAGTTATTTATTTCCAATGCGTCAGACACGACGAGTGACCACTAGCGACTCCGAATTACACGGACGAACGAATTCTCGGACTTCCCTTCAAAAAAAAGTAGTAAGGCGAACCAGACTAGCTGGCGCGATCATGCGTTTTGTGCAATTCAGCCCATCGAACGATTACCTATTAATGATTTTCACTGCTCTGTACTTTAGTCTATGTAAAAATAGTTCAAACATTGGAAAAGTTAAAAATTTCACGCACCAGCGCATGAAAGCTGAATTCGAAACCTTGACGGGTGAATATCTTTCCGTGATTCCCCAGTTAATAATTTAACCGCCAAAATTCTCACTAGGCCGTAGATGATACCCGAGGGCGGGGGAAGGCTGAATTTGAATGGGCAAGGTTAGGCGTGTGCAGGTGGCCGTTATACTAAAATTCTAGCCTCCTAGACTCCATGGTTCCCGAGATATTAACTTACCCGTGAAAAACATTCACGGGACCGTACGTGTTACCTGCGGGTACTGGAAGGCTAAATTTGAATGGGCAAGGTTGAGCGCAGGCGGGGGGTCATAACCCTAAACTTTTAGCCTCCGAGACTCCATGGTTCCCGAGATATTTACTTACCCGTGAAAAACTTTCAGGGGGCCGTACGCGTTACC